CACTACATAAATGTCAGGTTATCTTTATTGAATCCACATGAAAAATTTGGTTAAAAAATGGTATTGGAAGTAAACTAGTCAACATACAATTTACTTACTGTCCTGGGGGAAAAAATGTAAATGTGGAGGAAACCTAATAACTCTTCTCTGTTGTGCCTAATAGAATGATTCACGCAGAGAACCGCATCTTTTTAACAACTCATTCATTCAAAGACTATTTTGGGTGCCTCCCATGCAACAGGTGCGGTTCTATGCAATAGGAACACATTTGTATTTCTTTTCCTTGTTACAACACATTGTACAAAGGAAAGGAAAATCCCTTACCACACAGAGCTTACATTCTAGAGTGAAAATAGTCAGAGGGAGAGATTTTTTTCAATTACCTACAGTGAGCCAGGCACTTAAGATAGGTGCTATATGTATATATCATCTCATTTAATCCTTACCCAAACCCTGAAAATTATGTATTATTGCCCTAAATTTACAGAATTGGAAATTGAGACTCAGAGAGGTACAGTGGTTTCCCAAGGTCTCAAAACCCAGCAAATGGTAGAACACGGGTTCAAATCAATTATGTCTGACTATAAGGCCCACATTTCCAACACAGTTACTCTTACCTGGAAAAATACATATAAATCGGTGGAGAGCAAACAGCCTCTGTTACAAGCTCAGAGAACCCTACGCCTGTTACTAGCAGCGTTCATTTTGAAGGGCTAGGCTTGCAGGCTCTGCTTCTCTATAAAGATCTACATTACTTCATTCATCTATGATACTTTCTAAATTTCCCAGATTCTCAATTTGGCTTCCAATGAGTCAACTTTGCTGATTCTCTAAACTCCGGTTTCTCCTTTCCTAATCAGACCTTCACGGGTTCCTGTTTTTCCCAATTCACTTGAACGCACAGGCTTTCTGGAACTCATTCATTCTTCCATTTTTTAATTAACAATAAAAATTATGGGACTGGTATCCTCTAGGCCACTTCTAGGGATGGAATACAAATGCAAATGAAACAATGAATCTGTCCGACTCTAATCCACTGGCTCCCTCTGGCTTAGCTAATCAACTGGTCCAAAATTTTTCCTCTCTTGCTATGTGTGTGTATGTGTATTAATCTCTCAAGCTCTGGCTATGATAACTGTCATGATTCCTTTTTATTATTTTAGTTTGCTTTTCAATTTGACAAGAAATATATATATACTTATATGTATGTGTGTGGGTGTGTATATACATATATAAAGATATTTATACATATATATAAGAATAAAAGAAAATACAGATAAAGACAAAGAATAATTACCTACAAAATCTCCCTACCCAGAAATAAGCTTTTGCAGAAAATTTTACTAGCCTACAAATTTCTTCCTATCTATAGTAAAACTTCCTGTAAATAACTCCAATAAACTAATTTATTCAATCAACCAACTAGCCCAATCTATATAAAATAAGTCAATTATAACAATCATTTCACTAACTGCTGTTTAATAAAATTGAATGGAAATCCACATCAAAGTGCTATGAGTACAAAGTGTGCAGCAAATATGATGTTATTTATCATATATATTGAATGTGGCTGATGTAGTAGATGAATAGTAAAACACTAAATATTTTTAACTTGCAGGGAACCTAAGTCTCTTTCTCAAATTGACATATCACATAACTGAATCCACCAGACCTTATGAAAATTTATTACATTTCATCTTGAACCCCATTTGGGAAAAGGGACAGTTTCTCCTCGAATTATAACTCATAAAGTTACTGCAATTCTATATGCACAGTCAATATTGATTAAAAACAATGAAAAGAAGGGCTGCCTTGACCTGGTGCAATTCTATCTTCCAGGAACCTTCTGGTTATCAGAGCATGTGCACTTCCGTGCTGATAACATAGACCACTGTGTTCAATTTTGCACTTTGACAAACTCAAGTTTGTTCACTAGGCTTTGGCTAACTTCTTTTGGGAAATCAGCTCAGTAAAATCCATAGATAGTGCTCAAGTTTTGACTTTTAAAGGCCCAAAACGCACACTTTCCAAACCTCCTTATAACCAGGAACATATAGACATACACTCATACACCTACACAGCTTAGATATCTCTGGTATATGTGTGACATAACTATTCCAGAATAGGCAGAATTTAGGTCTTGACCAGAAGTGTGAACAAAACTCATCTCTTACATAAAATATCACTTCAACAGATGTGAATGTGATTGATCAATCAGTAGTAGACACAATTCATCATGGAACATTTAGGAAAAGATGAGATATCAAAGGTATAACTTGGGAAGGAGTAGAAAACAAAGTTGATTGTTTAAAATAATTAAAAAATCCTGTTAGGTCCATTTTTTTAATGTGAGCTATGTTAATACTGTGTTGGCACCAATATTTCCACTTATGACTGTACTTTAACTGAAATTAGTTCTCAAAAAAGGTAGTCTGTGTCATGATATAAAAAGTACCTCCTTAACTTTTTTTTTCACTTTCCTTTTTTCCTTCCTGTTTTCCTTCTTAAGTTAAAGTTAGGTAACAAAGTCTTCCTTCCTACTTATTCTTAGGGGTCTGACACCCTACAAAAGCCACTGAAGCCCCCTTCTCAGCTGATGGGATGTCTCTAGGCTCTGCTTCAAACTCTCCTGCGCCCATGCTGTGTTGGAAGACAGCTCTCCATGGGTCTCTTGTGTTTCTACCTGTCTTGTGAGCGGACGCACTGACAGGTTTTGTTCCTCACCATCTTTTCAAGGATGTTTGTATAGTGAACAGTCTTGGAAGACAGAAGTAGTAGGTAGTAGGCAGGTTTGCTTACAGTCCAGAAGAATAAAGATAATTTCTCCCCTTGCAGCAAAGGGCAGGTTTGCTTGCTGCCATTATTAAAAAAATCGAGTTTCTTATGCTCAGGGAGCCTCAGCTATGACATGAACCCACTGTGTGTGTAGATGTCGCCTAGCCCTCATCGTGTCACCCTACAGTAATTGGAACTTGGGGAACTGATGCAGGAAAATGACAATACTCCGGCTACTGCTATTGCTATGACTAATAAATTGCCCTTTGTCTCTGTCTTCTGCCAGCATCCAAGAAACTCTGGCAGATCCTTCACAGTTCTTGACATCATGTTTCTCTATTTTTCTGCTTTATATACGGATTCTCTTTTCCATTCAGATTCTGTAGATGATGACTCATTTGGTTGGTCATCTAAATTTTCTTTCAGTTCGATTTCTCTCCAAATTTCTGCCTCCTTATTTGACCTTTCTCAGTCTAAGGTCCTCACTTGCCCAGGAAAAAACAGAATCCTATTAATAATAAGTGACAATGAACTAAAGTGAGAGGGATAAAAAAGAATGTGTGAATACAAAGGGAGGTGTGGATTATACATGGAGCATGGGCCCCTAAGAATCAATACCGCAGCTGGGTTTTCAAGTCCATCCCATTGGAGACATCATCCTAGAGACCTGCTGGGTCTGGGGTTTGGGAGTGGGCTGCATCGCCAGGGTGGGTGCCTTGTTTATTGACAGTTTGACTCTGCCTTTATTTCTTAGTTCTCACCGCTAAAAATATTACTTCCTTAGTAGTCCTGTTTCTCATCTCCCTTCCCAACCCCCCAACAATGAAATCAGGAGACTCATATTCAGATAAGCATGGTTCGTGATACAATGATCAGGAATTTTTACTTGCTTATTATCTCTTATTTCAGAAAGTTTCAGAGGGATGAGCACCAGGAGTCCTGAGAATCAATGAGAACTTATCAAAAATGCAGATTTCCAGGCCATATACCTCAAGGATTTTGATTCAGTAGGGCTGATGTGTGGCACAGAAATCTCCCATTTTTACTAAGCTTCTTGGGTGAATCTGCTGAAGTTTGTCCGTGGAACATTATATGAGTAACTCTGCTTCAGAAACTGCCTCCTGATCTGGCACTCTGCACATTTGCTCAGTCTCCAGAGATAGTTCAACCCCAAATATATAAATTAGTCACTGATAAATGTTAGTTGATGGCAGTGATTTGCCCTGGTAGACATTCAACTGCCAGAAGTGTTTTGATAGTTATTATTTTGCCCATGAAACTGAAAGATTCATAGTAATGTCAGAAAACAGCTTAGTTTAACATTTTGGGATCTACTTGGAACAACTTCTTATGATCTATGATCTATGGTACAATACTATGTATGTATTATTAGCAATGGCGGTATATACAAAGATGTATAAATGGAACCAAAAAATTAGAAGCTGTAGCTTATAAACACTTTTGGTAAAATATTATTATCTCAAAAGTATTTTATTTGAATAAGTTAAACTATGTGAAAATTTTTGAAAGACTAAGGGAGTATTTTTGAAAAGTACAGACTACAGCAGTCATTGCTATTGAGATCACAAGATATAAAATAGAATGTTAACGAAAACACATCTTACATCAGTGTATGGGATGCATTTAGAGAAAGGGCATAACATAATGGCATTGATGGTTCTGCAGGTCTCTCTTAATATCCTAACTTCCTAATAATGATGCTGATGGGAAAATTCTTTTTTCATTTTCTCAATATTTTCCAAACTAAATAGAGTTAAATAACCCAAGTAATAGCAGCATCACAGCCATGGCTCTTCTCTTTGAGTACAGATCAGCACACTTCACTTCCATCAGGTTTGATTAGGAGTTTCACACTTAAACTGAGTTGGAATACACGCCAGGTGAAACCCATGAGAATGAAGAAAATACAATGTGTATACAGTGCTTTAGAGATAAGGACACCATAGTTTAGAATGCCGGGAGTAGGATGCTACTGGAAACACTTCCATCTATACATCACTGAGTTATTGTGGGATTACTCGGGACAACTGATGTTACATAAAACAGGTGAACAATATTCTAACATATACACATTTTCATTGTTAGTAGGTGGTCTTTATCAATAAACTGCCTCTTAAAAAACAGCAACACAAATTTCAGACAGAAGTTTTCAGCTGTTTTATCTTTTCTCTGAAGTTATGCTGATAAAAGGTGACGGCACTTACAGTTTACGACAATTTTTACTTTTCTCACGTCTGGGAATGACACATCGTTTTCCGCACTGCATTCATATTCTCCAGCCTGGTCCCTTGTAATTCCATAAATGTCCAAATATTGTCCATTTTCAAATGGTTTTGCTGCAAGAATAAAAGTTACAGCACGTTTAATTGTAGCCACCTCAGGTTTCATTCAAGTAAAACAACAATCTCATGTCTTCCTATTAGATATTGCTGACAAAACATTTCCAAATGAAGTTGGGGAATTATTAAACCCATTGTCCTCCCACATTCAGAGGAAAAGTCAGAGAAAAAGCAGAAACTGAACAAGGGATACTACAACAACCATTTCCCCAGAACAGGATATACATGTGTTCTTTTTAATTGATTGTGGTCTCCTAACCTCATCACACATCAGGTAGAGCTCCGCACATTTCTGTAATTGAGATCAACAACCTCCTAGCAGTGTAGATGAAATTCACCAATACGACTTGGTACATATTGACTTCTTTTACACAGTGTCATCTAGCAATTTGACACTTAACCTAACTAAATGCTACTTTTCTTTTGGGGAAATCTCATACTCATTTTCAAAGTTTCAAGCCAGACAGCTTGAGAAGAGTGTAGAGATATATTAAACCATTGCCATATTTCAGTTTCCAAAAATATTAATTTTTCCAAGAGAAGTACATCATATACTATATATATAACCTACCCAAGAAACCTCAGAAAAAAACTTTATGACTCTAAAACTAAGAGTTAAGTGGTCATAAAAACAAACTAAATTATCTTTATTTTTTAATATTCCAGGGAAAACATTCTATTTGACTAAAAATAACAGTAGATTAAATACATAAAGAAAATCACAGATGCGAGAATATCTCCAAATGAATGAGATTTGGGGAAAAAAGACCACTTTCTGAAATAAGAGAATTTTTATTGATTTGAAAGCAGAGAATCATTGGGCAGGAAGGATATCTAGTCTACTATCAGGAATATGGCAAAGAAAGAATGAGCCCATGAGAATTTCAAGAGGGGGGACCCTTCTCCCTCCTTGCACAGGTCTTGAAAAATCACATTTCAATGCATACCAAAGAGAAATGGAAAATGAAACAATGATTCCATTAAATGATGAGTTTTCAAAAGTCAATCTTATTTTTGTTCTCATCTTACTCTGCTGCCAAAATTATTGTAATGATGTAGAAATTAGAAAACTAGTAAGAAGATTCAATTTTATATGAATAAAACAAGATGAAATTTAATTATGGTACTCCAAATCTAAAACTTATGTCAATTAAAAAAGTTTTTCTTTTCTGTAGGTTCTCTGAGTCTCTATCAGTTGCCACACTTTCTGCCCTCCAGGTAACCATAACTTTGTTAATTGAAACCTAGAATGTTTAGAATGAGTATAATTAAGTCACCTCTCCACTTATTTGGCTGATTTCAGGTTGTAGATGCAGGGGAGCTATACTTCTGACATCATAGTTGGCTGATATGCTATTTCAGGTATATAGAGGTAAGCTGACGAAAGCAACAGTTGTCTTCAAAGTTCATATTCTTTTTTCGTGTGTGTGAGGAAGATCGGCCCTGAGCTAACATCTGACAATCTTTCCCTTTTTTTGCTGAGGAAGACTGGCCCTGGGCCAACATCCATGCCCATCCTCCTCCACTTTATATGGGATGCCTGCCAAAGCATGGCCCGACAAGCGGTGCGTCGGTGTGCGCCCGGGATCCGAACCGGCGAACCCCGGGCTGCTGCAGCGGAGCGTGCACACTCAACCGCTTGTGCTACCTGGCCAGCCCTCAAAGTTCATATTCTTAAAATCTGATTTTATAATCATCTTCTTAGCTCAACCTAGTGGCCTGCTCTGATTCTAATACACAAATATAATGTTGATTTTCCATTGTTCTCTTCTTTTGCTCTTAATTTCACCCTTACAATAAAGATAATCTAGGCTTAAATGTGTCTGTAAAAACTGTTGAAAGATAGGGAGGACAAAATCCTTATTCATATCCAAGAATTTTTAAAGTGTAACTTGAATTATAAAGTAAAGGCAATACTAAATGGAAATTAAATATGAGGAGAATTGATATACCATATCAGAATTAAATAACCTAGTTGGGCAGTACAAAATGAAGCCAATCACAAGTGAAAAGGTATACTATTGTGAAACTTTGTAAAAATAAATTTATTAGGATCTGACTTATTTTCAATATTAAAATGTTTCTTGAATATTCCTATTTTTGTGTACTGACATAATTTTAAGAAATTATATCCCCCCAAATGCATGCTTTTGATAACAAGCATATATTATAAACTATTTGAATAATCTACTATCTATTTCTTAAATAAATCATTAAATATGGTGTGTATGAGTGTATGTGTGATTGTTTTTGCTATTTAAAAATTGCAAAAATATGAACAGTCTTTTAACGTATTGAAGGATAGAAAGAAACACATTAATTTGTATGCATACCAGGCATCAAAAAGTATAATGAAGAGAGAGAAACAGTAGGTTTCTTAAAGAAGAAGCAAGCATTTGTTTTTCTCTCCTAAATGGCTAAATGGCAGACTCTGAAAGATTCAGAGCAACTACAAGAAGCTGTATGATAAAATATCATCAACATCAGGACCCATCACTCAACTCCGGAGAGCATTGTTCACATCTATTGAATGTTTCACTGCACAATCTACATAACCATATTGAGGGATCCTTCTCCAACCCCACCAGAGAACAACGTCCTTACAACTATCAGAATTACCAGTAAATGTGTATGCATTGCATAAATCAGTAGCTACTGAGGCAGTGAATGGATGATATTGCCAATACCAGCTGTCAATAATATAACACATATATAAGGACACTCAGGAAAAACAAAGCATAAATGCATGGTCAACATCTTAATTTCCCCACTGGATTCCTGGTACTTTTTTTTTTTTTTTTAAAGATTTTATTTATTTATTTTTCCCCCAAAGCCCCAGTACATAGTTGTCTGTCATAGCTGCACATCCTTCTAGTTGCTGTATGTGGGACGCGGCCTCAGCATGGCTGGAGGAGTGGTGCCTCGGTGCGCACCCGGGATCCGAACCCGGGCCGCCGGCAGCAGAGCGCACGCACTTAACCGCTAAGCCACGGGGCCGGCCCGGATTCCTGGTGCTTTAAGTCATCCTGTTACATACTCCATTCACCATGCATCAGCTCTTCCAAAAGGTGAGCTCTAAGTATTCCCCTTTTCTTACACGAATCGTTCTGTTTCCACCCTGAACTCATCTTTGCTTTTTTCTCAGTCTGATCTTACCAGACTTGAATTCCAGATTTGAAACTTGGAGTTGCTTTGCCCAGGATTTAAACCCTGTAGTTCAATAGCTGTCTGTAATTTGCTTGGTTGCCTCTTTGGATTTGGTTGTGCCATATATAGTAATTCTTTACCTTAGTTTTGGAACCAAGGAAACCAATTCTGTCTTTAGACACTTATCTGGGTTTCCCTCTATTCCCATCACTCCACTAACAAGGAGAGAGGATTTGGGTATAGTATATTAAAATGCAAAGAAGGATATTTCAGTTCATGAAATATAACTCAACTTATCCCCCAAAATGGGGGGAAAGACCAAGGCTGAAGGGATGTAGGGAGCTAGGTCATGAGGACTATTACCAAAGCCAAGACTACAATGTTTCTCAGGGATATGTACTATCCTAGGGTACTTATTACAAATCTAGATGAGTTATAAAAACATTATCTCTTAGGGTACCAATTATAAATGTCAGTGAGAGAGAAACACATTGTGATATGGCAGCCTTCTTCTTGTCACAGATTTTACCATTCTCCATGAGTGCAGCAAGTTTCTGTTTTGCTCATCTCTGTGTCCCTAGCTCTAGCATAATGCCTGAAACATCATACACTTGGTAAATATTTACTGAACAAATAAATACATACTTTGATTAATGTATTAATAAAGCCCTGTAACGATAGAGCACAGAAAATCTAAAGTAAACACTTAAAGTTGAAGAAGTTGCCACTTCTCTTTCAGAGTCATGAGGGAGGAAAAGAACTTTAAAAAGAGGTGTCATCCTTGGTGACATCCTGAAGTGATAGGTGATGGCACTGGTGAGAACAGTCTCTGTACAGTTATCAAAGATTCTTTTTAAAATTATAAAGACTAACAAAAACTTTAAATACAATTTTGAAGAAAAAAATATAAGTACTGTCTATAACCTAAACAATATTTTCATTTGTGCATAATCTCTTCCAGGCATAGATGGATTCTTCTCAAAAAATAGAGGACTGAAGAAATTCCACAAGCTTTCAATGATGCCACTATTATCACCATCTTCAAAGAGAAAGCTGAAAAATAGGATGCAGCTGTGCTTTATAATCTCTCTCTCATATTGATTTCTGATAATAACCTGGCCAGAAAGAGCTCTATATTTGCCACTAAACAATATCTAGATTTGGCTTCATGATTTGGCATAGCTGTGAACATACTTTATATCGCATATAGAAATTGTTAGCAACAGCATTATCTTTCCATAAAGTACAAATATGTTTCGGAAAAATATTTGACAATATAAATTTCTTCCCTTAATTTCTAGGACATTATCCTTTGATACTTTTCCTCTCACTTCTCTGGCCATTTCTTTTCACTTTTTCAAAATCCTTCACATCCTCACATTCCTCAAACACTGTTTCTGTTCTATTACCTCTTTTTCCTTCATTGAGTACACTGTTTCAGGGGCTCGTTCATTCATTTGTGTTTTGTTACTATCTATATATTGACAAGTGCCCCATGGGTCTATTTAGCCCATATCTATATCTTGAATCTTAGACACCTATGTTCAACTGGCCATCTCCACTTGGATGTCTCACAGGCATCTCAAAGTCAACACGCCAAAAACAAATTTACCTTTCCTGCCACACCTGCAGCTCTTCCTGTGCTCTAAGTCTCAGTGAGCACTTTGATCATCATCCAGTTGCTCAAGCCAGAAACCTTAGTATTAACTTTGACAATACCTTTTATCTAGGTCTATATATCCATTGATCACTGTGTCCTGTCAATTTTAGCTCCTAAGTAATTCTCAAAGATCGTCTAGTAGCCCCTGTGTCTCAGTTACTGATCTGGGAGTGCACATACTCAGACGGTA